CATAATATAAACTTAATTTATCCTTCCTTAGGTGCTATGTGTGATACATGCTTCAGTAATCTTGTCTCTTTTCAATTCATAATCGACTTGGCAAAAGAATTCATGCAGTGGGCTGCTGTTACATTTTGCGGTAGACTGGTTTCCAACCAAGGCTATATGTCCAGTCTGTCCTGCTATTTAACCCATAGGTGATTGGAGAAGAGCTAGATCCATATCTTTCTGAAGAGCATTTGCACCTAAGTGAATGTAAAAAATTTAATTTGAATTTGTCTCTGATTTCTCACCCTGAGCTGTTATCAAACATACACTCCACACATCTTAATTAGTACTAATGTAAAATATACAGCTTATATACTGTTATAACCCACCACTAGTCGTTATAATATTATGTCTTGCTTTGGCTACTCACCATGACATCACTAGAATTTATCCCAATAGACTTCTCTGATTCACTTGGAGTTCTTTATTTAAGGCATCTAGCCTAGTTCATTTGTGTTACTGGGGGCAAGGGGTTGTTATTTACTCCAAAACATGTACTTAATTGCAAAAACTGACATTTTTAACATTGATTATGGGCTTTAAAGCAGATATTCTTTCAGGTACCACACTATATATACACACATTTCCTTGTTGTGTGCTGGGAGGCTTCAGCATTGAAGTTTATTCCTGGTATCATTGCAGGTTTCAGGCTTCTAAAACCATCAGATTGCTCTCTCTCCTAAGTGACCCAACCAGGAGTGTCCACTTCCTGGTCATCTCTCCAGCCTTTGTTATGTGAATCTACAAAATTTGACCAGAGATTTTAAAAATGTGTTTAAAATATGGAGTATTTTTAGCCAAAAGATTCCCATATAAAATTTGAAAGGGTTGAAATTTGTCGAAATATTTTCCTATATGTTATGATGAAACACACCTATTCTATAGTTAATAGACTCCCACATAATATAAGTAGGGGTAGTAATAGAAACAATGGTTAGTTGATGTCGGACGACAGTCGAATACGAAAGTATCAGCGACCACAACAAGATTACTCTGCGTAATACCTATTATATCAAGTTCCTAACATTTTGTACGTCGAACCTATTTTAGGACTGATTTAGTACAAATACAAGCCTCCACTGCGAAAATACTCCACAACACTATATTAACAAAAACCAAAAAAAAAAAAAATCTGATTTCAGGCAAACAAGAATTTTTTTTATTTGTATTTGTAGCACTATTGCAATGCTTTAGACAAAAAAAAATAAAGTTAATATGTTCTACTGAAAATATATTTACTGAAAGTCACTTTTTATTAAACACAATGTTAAATGTTGAATGAAAGTTGTTCTTTGTACATAAACATTATAGCTAAATGGAAGAGCTGAATTGAATTCAAGTTTCAATACTGCGAAAAATTTAACTCGTATTCTCATCTTTGTTGTTTTTATCATGTTTAATTCTCTAGCTGAAATGTGATTAAACAAAAAAAAAAAAAAAAAAACAGAAGTAAAGACATTAATCCAAATAATTTGTAGAATAATGAAAAAACTAAAAAAGTTGGTTACACTCCTAACTTTATAACACTAGTTCTCATATGATCACCAAATAAAGCAACATTGAGTCTGGTCAGTACCTAAATGGATGACTGCTTACAAATAACAAGTGCTGTAAGCTTGGGTGTGCAGGTGGTTTAATGGATAATGGCTCAGAATTGTACACTGTGAAGTTCCAATTCCAGTAGAGCCCATTATATTTACTTATATTTATATATCCTAAAGAAAGGCATGAATCCACCTCTTCTTTCCCCAGCTATGGGTTAATTAGTAGGACTTACATCAGTAAATCATTATTATCTTTAAAAAATTCTTACAATCCCAAAATATTTCCTGGCATAAAACAACCAGCAAAAGGTAGACCCATAAAAAAACAGATCAATCAATTCTCTCAAAGGAATTTGCAATACACTATTTACAATATTTGGACTATTGTCCTCATCTTTGTTGCCATGTGAAACATTGTAATAAATATGGCAACAAAGATGAGGACAATAGTTTGAATATTGTAAAGACAGATGCTGAAGGGCCGAAACGTTGTGATAAATATGGTGACAAAGATGAGGACAATAGTCCCAATAATGTAAATAGTGTACATAATACCTCATCTGAGAAATATAGAGATATTGAATTTGCAATATTTGTCTAATTTTAGTGTTTATACTGAATTTATTCAATTTCTTAATTCTGAAGTGAGTTTTATCTGCTCGCATTTTAGATAAATTTATATTTTCTTTACAGGTTTTTTTTTTCTACATGCAAAACAAAACAAAAATTATTAAAAAATAAAAATAAAGAAATAAATATAAAGAATAATAGAAACAAAATATTAGAAATCATGCATTTTTAATTTTATTTTTTTAATTTCTAGTCTAGCTTACATAAATCCCATTAAGGGAAACTAATTAAAAAAAAAAAAAACAACAACCAAAAGCAAACAAACATCCCACCCCAACCGAAAAAAAAAAAAATTTGCAGCACCCCCTTCATACAAATATATTTCCTATTTTCATGTAACAAAGATGTTAAAAGAAAAAATTCTATTGCGTTTCTCTAAGTGTATAGACACTCTACTTTGGTAAAAACTGATGAATTATTTTCTTCTACTATATGGTGTGTCACTTCTGATCATGGCCCTCCACAACTTCCTATCCTTTGTAATTCTTAGTAACATTTGTTTTTTTTTTCCTTATCTCTCCCAAATCCTGTTCTGCCATCCATTTACACAAATTTGTTGGGTAGATTACTCACTGTTTACCTTTCACTCAGTATTCCCTGTAAGTGTTTGATACTCCAAACCTTCTTTCCTCATTAATATTTCAACTGTCTTTGTGATTCTAAGTATCTTTTTTAGTTCTATTTTTTTTTAAAGTTTCTCATTACTCAAATGTTCAGTCCATGATATTCTCAACATCCTTCTGTACTTAAATTTTAATTTCAATAAGAAGACGTAGAGGGTGTTTTATTATAAGATAAAGGTCTATCAGATACTTCTTTACAAAATCTAGTGTTAAGTGTAATAAGAGAACAGAAGAGTCGATGTTAGTTCTATGCATATATATATATTTATCAAAAAAAAACCCAAAATAAATTCCTATTTATTTTTAAAATGTGGGTTAAATGTATTACTTGATACTGAAATTATCTGTTTTGCGTCTACAGTTTTGAATAAAAATTGCATCATTGAAGCAAGCCAAAAATAATCATTTACTTGTCTAGTTTTAGTTTGGTATAAGGCCACAGCAGTGAGGATTGTATTTGTTACATAAGTGAATGAGTTTATGAAATGAGTTTTTTTTCACTAGAACAGGTATCCCAAAAAATATTTATGAAGCTGAGTTTAGTCTGGCATAAGACCACTTGTCATGGGGCACCCAGTTGAAACTGAACACATTAAACAAGCAAATAAGTCTACAAAATGAGTTTACTTACTAGACTGTAGACAACAGAAATTCATACATAGACATCCTCAAGGACACATGGCACAGTGGATAAAGGCGTTGATCCAGTGACAGGACCCAAATAGTGTGAGTTCAATACCAGGTTAAGGCAGTGGAGAACTTGGAGAGGGGAATTAACAGGAGATGACTGATAAATGACATCCATGGCATGTGGAACTAGAACAGTCTACCCCAGTGAGCGAAACAAAGGGTTCAGTTCGACATTCCATCCACCTGAAGAAGGCCAGAGCATACAACGGACGAAACGTTGTAATAAATATGGCGACAAAGATGAGCACAATAGTCCGAATAATGTAAATAGTGTACATAATACCTTATCTCAGAAATAGAGAGATAAATACTGTAGACAACTTATTAAAGTTTCAAGATATGAGACTGTCAGACCTTTTAGCAAGTAACAAGAATGCAATTATATCTTCAATTGCCGTGTCAGGCTGTGGGTATCTTGCAAATATGGGTACATGACTGAGTGGTTAAAACATTTGCTTTCTGACCATGAGGCTCAGGTTTGAATCTCATTATTGTCAATTTATCAGGAAGGTGACTACTTGATGTTATAGGCCTGGGGTGGCAATCCCAGCATGGTACCAACATTCATAATCTGGCTTCCATATTCAAAGTCCATTCAAGAACCATAAGCTTAAAAAAAGAGGGAACAGTAGAGAGGAAAACTTGACAGGAGGTCACAACAGGAAGCGGAATCATCATTTAAACTTAGAGCTAAATACATTCTTATTGTTCAAAGTAAAGCCCAATACTGTTATAAAAACCTGGGAGAATTCCAGTAAGATATATTTAATCATTTCTAAGGTACAACAGTTCGAACTCTCAGCATCAGACAACTTGATCTAATAACAATAACCAGTCAAGGTAATTGGAGACTATGCTGCATATGATTCAAATAGTTTAGTAGGGGTCATTAATGCCCAAATTTTATCACAATGATATGACCTCTATATACCTACATACAGTGGGTGCATGGCTGAGTGGTTAGAACATTTGATTTCCAACCATAAGACCTGGAATCAAATATCAACATGGGTCGATTTATTATGCCCTGTTATTTAACACATAGCTGGGGAGAAGAGATGGATTCATATCTTTCTCAAGGGTATTTGTGTACAAGTGAATATAACAAACTTGGCTGGAATTTGGCTCATCAATTTGTCTTTCTGAGCCACTATCCATTAGACCACCCACACAATCAAGGAAAGTATATAAATACTCCTACAACACAAATTAGGCCATATAAAAAAGGCAACCATATAAAAAGGGAAAGAGGAAAAAAAAACACTGTAAAAGCAGAAAAAAAAACAAAACAAAAAACAAAACAAATCTTAAATCCTAGGGTCTACTCAAATCACAACTGTGTAAATTAATATTTTTTGTTTCGTCAAAACCAATCAGATTTCTGTTAGGCCATGCAACTGTTTTCTTTTTGGCGTACACTGGACAGGGATTAATTAAAAAAAATCATCATCAACCAGGTGCAAACACTACTCACCTGCAATAACTTTGCTACCTTTTTCAACAGAAGCATCACTGATGTTGGCATCACTATAATTTTGGCCAGGTATGTCAGAGTAAGCATTTCTCTCCTCTTCAATGTCCATTTCATGGCGTCGGATGTTTTCTAGATTCATTTTACGTTCCAACTCTGACTGGAAACTTTTATCCCTTAAGAAAAGGAAAGAAAATATAATTAAAAGTTACAATTGAAAGAATTAAAGAGGGGGTTATTGAGGATGTATGGTCTTCTAAGAAACCTTTTTGATTCAGCAAGGATGTTGTTTTTAATCAATTCACTTCAGGCAAGTTGATAATGCCTCTGATGCCAGGGGTTACTGAGAGTGAAAGAGAATGAAGAGACTTTAGTTAAGAGAAAGGACAATAACTAAACAGAATTCCCAAAGAAAGAAAAATTGTGGTTGATGAAGATTGAAATTTTGGAAGATTGTAGGTGGCAGGGAAGCCAGAAATCAGTCGAGAGTTTGATAGTCAAGAAGTGAGAGAAATATACATGGGAATAGAACTCACAGTTATATCTAGCCATTTCAACATTAAAATAAGGAGACTTAGTTGTCATTCTGGCAGCATGCTTAAATTTACATTTGTTATATTCTGTATTTAGTTACGTGGGCGATGTGAAGTCAATGTGGGCGAAATACTGCGTTTGGTTGCAAAACAATGAAATTCAGAATCGAAAGAACAAGAAAGACTGTAGATATATTTTATAATCTCTTTTAGTGAGGAAAATAAGAACAAGTAAAAAGTTCGTATTTAAGAAGTTGAGGGAAAGGTACCCTTTGACAAGGCGTTGGATGAGAGTTCAATAGCAGCAGCAGTCACATGCTTCGTTTCGTCGCCGGGCCAGTGTGTCAGCAGCGAGCAACGTGACCCTTCTGCCTCCGGTGTTGAGTGGCACTCCTTTTGACTTTCCCGTGTTCTTATACACGCCTATCGGCTCCAAATGGCAATTTTTTGAATACGCGGGAGACGGTCCAATTGGTTGATTTAATTCTTTTCATTTTTTTTTTGAGTTTGTCCCAAACGGAAGTATCTGCGTCGAGCCTATGCGTAGACGTGTAGTTTTCATTTCGAGTCGGGGACTCGTGATGGTAACTTCCGTTTATCGAAGCAGGGCAAAATCTCATCTTGTAAAACATTGTTGGGGTAACAAGGAGGGGAGCTCATTCGAACAATTGCCATAAAAATAGTTATAGATAAGACAGAAGGAAGCCACGTTAGCAATGTTTGTTCTTTTACTATTCCCCTCCTCCATTTTTGATTCATCAAGGAATATTTCATAAAACATTCACTTTATGATTGTTATGGTTAAGTATTATCTTTACAAGGATCAGATCAGATAAAAAATTGAATACTGCTGCTTTATCTAAGCTGGTGCCATCCAATCCTGTCACAAGCCTATAGCAACTCCATTGCTATTTCCATGGCAAATGTTCAGATGAGCTACATTCCTTAGTTCCAACAATTCATACCTTTACAGTTAGTACTGCCATGCCATGCACACAGTGTTGAATCATCCTCATTCCCCCATATTCCATTGGTAAGAAAAAAAATTCCTTCAGAGAGCTTCTTCCAGAGAACTGCTACTTTATGAAACAAACTCCTGAGAGGATGCTTCAATATTCATTACAGTCTTAAACTCTTCAAGTGAAGACTCAATCATTATTTAGCCAATATATCCTCATAATCTGTACTTATTTCTGTCCATAAAACAATGTCTAGTAATCCTTTACATTGAGTGGCTCTTGGGCTTTGTATTGGATGAACATTTAGTAAAAAATAATTTTTACCTTGAGTTTTTTTTTTTTTTTTACATCATTTGGAGGATTTTTACATCCTAATGATTAAAAAAAACATTTTATGTCCATAATCTGGAGATGAGAATTTGTTTTGCATTGTATATAACCTTGAAAATAGGGATTGTTCAAAAAGAAAGGAGATGAACTAAGTGACCCTTAGACCAAAACACTGTGATAAAAAAAACATTGCAGATACTAAACCAAATAATATACATAGTGAAAACAAAAAAATTCATAATTTCAAACTCAAGTATAGAAAAATAAAACTTTTTACTTACTTGCTTACAAATTCTCTCATGCAAGTGACAGGCAAACTGAGACGTACATATTCCAAACAGACTTGTTCTAGAGTGCCAAAATTCTTTGAGGAAATTTTCAGAGCTGGAGTGATGTTTGTTCTGAGCAAAAGAAAAAAGTATACATATATTTGTGACTAGCTTAAAATTCACAACGAAAACAAAGAATAAAAGATGTTAATGTAAAACAGAATTTCTAAAAAATAAACATTTTTATCAAATTTTATGTTCCTATGATACATCATTTAATTTTTTTCTTTTTTTTAAAGAATTTCACCCCAAGCAAGATGGGGGTGCCACTAGCATGCAAAGGGGTTACAGAGAGTGGGAGCAAGAGTAAAGAGGCGTGATAGAGGAAAGGATGAAGAGAAGGATGGGGAATAGATCAAGGCATCTGGAGATGTCAATTGACATTGCATTTGAATATTTGGAGATTATAGCTATCAGGGAAGCAAGTAAGAGGAAGGGAGTTCCACACAAGGGAAATGTGAGACATGAATCAATTGGAGAAGAAGAGATGGCTATGTTTAACAGTTTTGACAGTGAAAGAGTGGGACTGAGATGCCAACCTAGTAGCACGTTTAAATTCATACAGTTTGGTGATATGTCCCGGAAAGGGATATATTTGTTCAAAGTAGCAAAATGGTTGTTGACTACTGTAACCGTGTAGGACAGTCTAGCAGATAACCGTAATGCACTGGTCCTTGTTGTAGTGTAGGCAATAGGCGTCATCCATAGACATTGTCCTTGTACCTCCACATCAGTCTGTATTTATGGCTGCCACCCACCAATCATATTTCTGTAAGGGGGAACCCAGGTGTATGCATATTCATTACATCATTTGGGAACCAGTGAAAGTAGCTCATCGAAGCAGTTACTGTGAAAGTATTTGTAGAAAAGACAGAGGGAGGTGATGGCATATCTGTGAGAAAGTGATTGTAGACAAAATCCCAGATCAGGACTGATCACATAGCATATCCATCTCTGTCAAGGACCTTGAGACGAACAGGAAGGGGTCCATACCATATATGGCAGCAGTGTTCCATGCAAGGGCGACCAGTTAATTTATAGGTTTGAAGGATGGACTCAGGTGAGAAAAACTTTCTGGTTCATTACAGAGAACCAATCTTTACTTATAATGCAAAAGGGACAGTAAAACCAGTGTATAATCTACCTTGTCTGAATAGTTGATGGAAGAGGAAAGATAACAAAAAGGCAAACTTTACTTAGAGACACAAAATACAGGAAGTTGTGAAAAGCTGTAATGGTCCACATTCTGAATGAACATAGCAAATAGAAGAACACTATGCTAATGATTATTTCACTTTTCATCTACCATCAGAATTTGCCATTATCCTTTATGTAAACATGACAATGAATGTTTTGATGTATTTAATAAATCCCAAACACAGTCTTGTGTCACTAGATGAGGACTCCTCAGGCTGAGAGAGTGGGATTAAACCAGTGCAATAATTTTCTCACTATAAATTCTCCCTGTAAATGTCCGTTTTGAAAATTCATCACCATTATCTGTATCCATTGACAACTTGCAAGATAAAGTCTTCTTTGGACCCAGAAAACAACAATGATGATGATGATGATAATATTGGCCATTTTACAGGTATATATAATTATAACATCTGTTTATGATCTTATAATATATAATATACCATATGAATAACATTTGTTTATATTTCTGAGAATGAGGTACTGTAACTATTTACACTATTGTTGTCATCTTTATTGCTGTATTCACGACAAACCTAATCCTTTTAGTCCATGGGAGTACATTGTTCTAATTCCACATGCCATGCCTTTGGATATCTGTTTTAGTTAATTCCTCTCGATAACTCGACTCTCCAATTTTTTGTTCTCTCTGCTGTGACCAGAGATTGAACTCACAACTCTTTGGGTCAAGTCACTTTTGGATCAATCAATTAACGCTTTTATCCACTGAGCCATGCGTCTTTGGGGACCTGAAGAAGGTCCAGGGATGTCATGTATAGGTCTTATTTTAGTACTGTTCAGTCATTGCTTATCACATTTCCACTGATTCCAAGTTCACACTGCCTGGGCCAGGGATAGAACTAAATTTACAAACCAATGCTTTACTCTACTTTATTATCCTGTGGATTAATTAAAGTGGGTTAAAGTTTTGGTTTCTGAATTTGGTGACACAGTGATTGTGAGTTCAGTTCCTGGGTTGGTTAGTGTATACTTGGACACAGTGGAAACGAGGCGAGCAATAACTGAGCAGTACTAAGAATAAGAACTAGTCAAGATATTCCAAGACATAAACAGTGGAACAAGAACAATCCATTTCCATAGATTAAATAAAGGGTTCAGTTCAAAATTTAATGAGTTACCCAGATTGGTAGACACCTGATGAAGGCTGGAGGTCACAGTGACTGAAACGTTGTGATAAAAACAACAAAGTTTGAGAACAATAGTCTGAATATAAATAATGTAAATAATGATAACTCCCCACCCAAGAAATTTACAGGAATAATACAATCTTTGTGTAGCTTGCTATATAGTTTCAAGCAATTGTATTTATTGATGGATTCATTTTCTACAGCTTATCAATCCATTACAGGTTATTTAATATTTTTAGATAATTTTTTTTTTTTTTTTTTTTTTAGATAATAATGATTTAGAGATACAAGTCTTACTAATTAACTTATAGCTGGAGGGAGAAGAGGTCGATTCATACAGTTCCCAAGGGTAGTTGTCCATAAGAGACTATAAATGAAGCCAATTGGAATTGGAACTCAGCTCTCCCATTAACAATTCTGAGCCTTTATCCATTACACTAACTGCACATTTACAAAACCCAGTATCCTGAAGTGGTTACCCATCTAGGCACTGACTAGGCTCAATATTGCTTAACTTCAGTGATCATACTGGAAATTGGTATTTCAATGTGATGCAGCCATAAGCCAATTAGCAATAGTAGTTGGTGTTCATATCCAGGTGAAAAGCCAAGATTTTGAATGCTAATTTTCAAGGCAAGTTCTTCCTGTTTGTTAGATTGTCATAAAAACAATCTTACTAATTCCACACTTAACTTTATATCCATTAAGCTACATTTACTAAATATGAAGAATACAATCTACTGATGAAGCCATCATCATTTGACAACATTTTCCTTACTAAATAGTTTGTTTTTTTTATTTGCTTTTGGTTTTGTTTGTAACTTACCCTCCTGGAATTCTCACAGCTTCCAAACGGGAATGATTTGAAGTCAATGGCTCAAATACAGGTTGATTTTTGGCATACCAGAGTGTCATCTGTCTAGTCATATTTCTGAAAAAAAAAAAAAAAAAAAATTAGAAGATGAAAAAAAAAAAAAAACAATTTAATGATTAACAATATAATAATTCCAACATGTTAAATTACTTGCCAGGTATAACAATTTCACCTTTGTGCCTGTTTATTTTAGCACAAAACATTTCAAAATATGATTAGTCCTGGGTATGACAATAAACTACATCTGGCAGCAAGGATTATGATTGGGAGATTAGAGGTTTTGAGAAGTGTGGAATCACCTCTAAACTACTGTTGTTCCCAGGTTAACACTGACCTGGGGTGGTAGGGTCTCAACTATGGGTAAATTGTGAACCCCCCCCAAATTGAAAAATCAAAATACTAAGAAACTATAAATTTTTTTTTGTCATAGTAAAAATACCAGCAATATATTTTTATATAAATATACATACATTGCTAAAGATGTTGGAAAAATGGTTGCTTCTCTGTGCCACTCTAGTAAATATCTGAAACCTCCTGCTATCTGCTACCTTTACAAGAGCTAGATCAGATTGAAAATGGAGTCCTGCTTCCATGTATGGTCATGAGTTACCCAGTCTTCATTTTCATCTCTCAATAGAGTCTGAAAGTGTCTTTGCATCTTTGTGGTACTTTCCTTCCTACAAGCCCTTTCCCATAGACAAAATATCACAAACTTCTTTTTGTTCTGTCATTATTCCTATGGAAGGTGTTCAAATGAAGTACATTCCTTAGTTTCACCTGTTCTAACCTTTAAAACTAAGACCTGTCATGCCACACACACTGTAGTGAACCACCCTTGTTCCCTTCATATTTGATTGTTGAGATGTAAGTTTCACTCAAGCAGATTCTTCGCACAAACTGCTAAGAGGATGCATGTCTCTTACTCTGTAACCCTCTACCTCGAGTGTCACTCGAGCCTTGTGTAAGAAGAACATCATTGTGTAAAAGATTAGCATACACTGATGAAAGCCGGAAGCTGCAATGGCCAAAATGCTAGAACAACAATAATAGGAATGAGGACAATAGTCTTCATATAAATAAAATAAGTTTCTATCTATAACCCATTGATGCCTACTGTCCCCAAAATGGGACAGTAGAAATTAATGGATTAGCTGAGTAAATATTTAAAAAAAAATATCAATTTTTGTTGACTATTTTTTACCCAATAAAAGGTTGATTATTTATTTCTTGTCTTGAAGGGAACAAAGTCAAGTGATTGGTCAGTTGTTATCTTGCCTGCTTATCCACATAACCTCCACTTTCATTCATATAACTCTTCAGGACATAAGTAATTATGGCTTTCTGGATTCCTTTTCTTTAATATCTGGGAATTTCCAGGTATTTTTGAGAAAAATAGACAAAGATGTATTTATACTTACACACAGAATGGTTCGTAACCCTCCTGAAGACCATAACATGTAAAGTACTTCAGCTTGTTGATATCCTGAATAAAAGAATGCAGAAAAAAAAAAATTTTTTTGAGATCAGATTTGCAAATAACATGACAAAATAATGATTGCATGCTGATACTTAAAAAATAATTCACAACCTAGAAATTCTACAGGTACTGACAACTAAGATTATCTATTACATATTGAATTTGTTCTTCTTTCAACCTTTGCTTGTATCTTCTTCTTCTCTCCCTTATCCCTTTCAATGTCTCTGCCTGTGATATCTTCAGACTCTCCTCCCTTAACCCGTGTATCTTTATGAATTGTAAACAACAAGTTTGCGGTTATCACATAACGAAGTAACCCCACCAACCCTTGTATCTTTATTAGAAGCTAAGTACCAAAATATCTAGGAAGTGTTTTAACAGAGGACAGAAGACGTGGCATTGAAATCCCAAAGTGCATTGAAATAGAAAATTATGCCTTCAAAAAGCTAAGTATTAAGAAAGAGAAAAATGTTAGAAACAAAGAAGAGAGTATTGAATATTGGTGCTTCTATATGGAAATCAATGATGGAAAAAAATGATCACACATGAAGAAGAGACTTCAAACAGAAATTTGGTTCTACAGAAAGATGGACTGAACATGTGAGCAACAATGAAATTTTAGAGAAAATGGAAACAAAAGGGATGCTTATACTTAGCATCAGAAAAAGAGGATTGAAATTTCTAGGGCACATAATGAGGAAAGAGGGCTTGGAGAATTTGAAACATATTGAAGGCCAAAGGGACAGAGGAAAGCAGTGAGTAACCCAACTAAAAAGACAAACCTTACTAAGTGCTACAAAGTATAGGGGCATCCTGAAAGGACATAGCACACAGATGATGATGATGCTAGGGACCTGTGTCAGTTTTAATTAGGAAATGAATTTTGACAAATACAAGGTGATGTATCATTTCCTCATAATATTACAAAAAGTGAAAAGAGCTTGTGTATGAACTTGATTTTCTGAATCAAAACATTTCATTACAACAGCTGTTTGGTTGGATGATCTCCATAGAAATTACAGATCAAAGGAAGTATTGTTTTAGAGAGTTGTGATAAAATGCACAATCAATCAAATTTATTGACTGATTCATTTTCTATGGCTTATCTATTAGGCGGGAAAATATATTTTTATATTATTCACACACGCACAAACTCACATAGAATGAATGATTACGACTGAAAAACATTGTTGCTTCAAAGAAACTCATAAAATACTATATTAACTTCATAAAAAGTCAAAAGCAAACAGGATCTAAAATGAATTCCTATTCTTATAATTAAAAAAAAAGTTGTGAAATTTTTTTGTTTGGTTGAGTAGGTTTTTATGGTTTAAATCTTTTCAGATTATTAAGTGACAGAAAAAATTTTTAGATTGTAAAAATTATTTTTGGAGATAATGATTTAGTGATACTAATTAACCCATAGATAGGGGAGAAGAGGTGGATTCATATCTAATCAGAATTTGATAAACAAGAAATTATAATGTGGATATTAAGTGGGGGATCAATTCTTTATTACAATCAATATATAAACTGATCTCTCACTCCAAGATAGTTTCTATACATTTATATTCCAGAGTATGTAAATAAATCTAAAAGACATGTCTATGAAGCTAATCAGTATTTGATTGATCGATTCATTTTCTACAGATTATCAACCCATTGCAGGTTATTTAAAGCCAGAGAATATTTTTAGATTGTAAGATTATTTTTTTCAGATAATAATGGTTTGTGATTAAGTGAATATAATGAACCCAACCTGAATTGGAACTCAGCCCTTCGATTAACAATTCCAAGCCATATTCCATTACACCCTGCTCACATACAAGCTTACAGTAAATGGTATTTCCAAGCAGTCACCCATCTAGGTACTGACCAGGCTTGACATTGCTTAACTTCGGTGATTGTACAGGAACCAGTATTTCAACATGATATGGCCATAAACCATAATTAAAGATAGTATTGTCCCAGAGGGTTGTGATAAAAAGGCAAAAATAATTAGTAATAAAATAATAATAGTACAAATGATACATCTAAATTTTCAAAATTTACCACTTGTAGTAAATCTAAAGATGGTACAGAGATTACATTATTAAGTGCTACAAAGGATAGGAAGTTGTGAAGAACCATGATTGTCCAAGAAGAGACATGGTACATAAAAAATTGGTTGAAGATGATTAAGATGATGTTATGAAAAATGAACTCTCAAGGGTCAGAGGTGTCTGCAAGTTTGAACCTTGTCTGAAGTTTCTTTTTTGTTTTTGATCCTGGACTTTTTGCTATATGTGTTGAAAAGTATATCATGTGTGATATAATAATAATAATATGGAGTAAATCTAGCAATAAAAATAGTAATAATGAAGGGTATCAGTTCAGTGTTGTGATAAAAAGCAACAATAATAAAATGGAGTAAGACTTCTAACTTTTTTTTAATCATTTCATCCCAAGGAAAGCAACAAAGCCACTAAGTTGCAGATGGTTACTGCATAAGAAAAAGAAAAACCTTATTAAGGAGCAAGAATAATAAAAGAACAAATTAAGACAGAAGATAACAATTGATATTGCATTTAAATTTTTCAAGATCAAACTTGACTGGAAAGCAAGAAGAAGCCGGGTGAGAGTTCCACAAGTGAGAAGTGCAGGAAAAGAAACTTAACATAGGGAAGGTTACTGAATAGAATAATCACACGGAGGTTGGTAATGAATGATAATAATTAGGACAAGAACAACACATATAAGATTCACCAGCGGCATGTAGAAGTAGTAGTCAACTGCTAGAAGTGAGTCAAGTGAATTCCGCAATCAATCTCCAACTGCAGACTAACATACAGTATTATTGTATTTATGTGAATGGGGACATACCCATTATCATCCATAGGTATGCTACAGCACAGAGAATATGGTCACATCTAGCCATTTAAACTGTAAAATAATGAGATCTTGGTACCTATCTAATAATGTGCTTAAACTCAGAGTGTTGGTACTATCGAGGAAAGTTCATCAGAACAATTACCATACAAGTATTTATAGAAAAGGCACAGGAAAGCTACATTACAATGGTGGGAAAGTGACTGAAACTGAGATGCCAGGACCAATGAAATTGCAGATTCTTTGGATTTATCAAAGATCTCTCAATAGAACCAGAACATATGTGGCAGCAATATTCAAAGCATGGAAGAATGGTAAACTTATAAATATGGAAGATAGATTTGGGAAAGAAAAATTGTCTAGCATGTCACAGTGACTCAATTTTCCTAGCAGCAGATCTAGCAGCAGATTTAATATAATCTTTCCATTTCATTTCAACAGAAAATGTTAGCCCAAGAAGGTGCAATGAAGCATTCATACTGATGGAAGGCAGAGAGTAGTTTTGTTTTGGAGGCGTTAAAATTAAGAAGTCATTCCTTGCCCCAGTAAACAACAGAATGTAGGTAATTTTTTAGATTAGCTGTCAATTTGACATTATTGAACTGATCAGACTTACAATTAATATAGGAGTAAATGGTTATTGTGGTAGCATACCTATGGACAATAATGGGTATGCCCTCATTCCCATAAATACAGTAGTGAATACTGTGCGTGTTGGCCTGTGGTCTGTAGTTGGAGATTCATTGTGGAATGCAGTTAACTACTTCTACATGTTGTTCTTGTCCTAAGTATTATCATTCATTACCAAACCTTCATGTGATTATTCTATTCAGTAACCTTCTCTAGCTTATAACAGTTATGTCATCAGTACAGGTACCAATTTGCAAACTGATACCATCAGGAAGGTTGTTGATGAAAATTAGGAATGTAGGTCTGAGGATAGGGCCCTGGGGTACACCTGCATTAATGCAAAAAAGATCCAGAAGAGAGGCCATTCAAGACAACTTTCATTTTGCAATTTGGTAAGAAAGACGGAATCAGTTTAAAAATTTGTCCAGAAATACCATAACCTTTCAACTTGTGAAGAAGACTGGTATACCAAACCCTGTCAAAGGCCTTTGAGATATCCAAATCAACAGCCCAAGCCTCACCATTCTTATCTAAATCTTCATAGACACTTTCAGCAATAATTGTTATTACATCAGCAGTTGACCTAGAGAAGTGAAAGCTATATTGCTTATCTGAAAAACTGACCATGCAATGTGTGATGCATAACCAAGTTAGAGTTGATGAGAGCCACTAGTACATTGCCAAAAACAGCTAGAAGGCTAATAGAAGGATCAGACAGTTCCCCTGAATTCTTAAAGACTGGAACTATAGAAGAGGATTTCCCACAAGTTAGAAAGCAAGAAGCAGCAAGGTGCTTATTGTAGAATGTAGATAAAACAGGAGCCAGTTCAGGAGCACATGTCTTAAAAACTATTGCAGGGTTATCATCAAGACCCACATGCTTTGAGAGGGTCCATTTTAGAGATGATAGTAGATAGCAATGGATGAAGTTATATGCATATCACTCAACAGAGACACAGTTTTAAGTGGAAAGTCAAGCAAAGATACCCCAGATGTGTCAAGAGTAGAATTTGAAGTTGTAAAATAATAATAGTTCAACTCTAAATAATAATTGATATGGTTCTGTTTTGAATTAAAATTTAGTATGGGACAGGTAAAAATTGGTAAGCATTAATGGTTCTTACCTGTCCAAAGTTTATTCTGGCTTGTTGATGAGCACCCAGAGTAAAAGCTGGCACATAACCTGAAAAATAATTTAAAGAAATTCAGATAAATCAATCAAAACAAAGAATTTGAGATTTTGTAAGGCAATAAAGCAACAAATTTGAGGAACAAAGTACCAAATTTTAGGGTATAATTCTGTAGTTTAAATAAGTCTGTATAGCTGCAATGTCACTTGTACAAATCAAAATACCGCTGGTTCAATTCACTGTCCTCACTTTCTGAACACATCACTACGTATAGCCGTTGTTTCTTCGTGTTTTCATTGCTCCAGTCCTCTTTTATCAGGCCAACACTGCGGTTCACCAACCAATCAGTGTTCTTCGCTTTTATTCTTGGTTACACGGGCAAATTGCCTCCTCCAGTTTGACCAATCAGCACACAACTTGCTATTGGTGGAAGCATGCCAAACTGTACAAAAAACCCCTCATCACTGCACATACTGCTAGAATGGCTGGACAGGAGAGTAATGCCATTTTCACGGAGCAAACTTGCTGATGTCATGTGCCACATGTTAAGGTAAGACCCTTATTTTCTTATACACCAGATGCAAGCCACTCTGGCTCGCTTGCTTCTATAGGGCTGTTCACCACAATTTCAAACAATCCTCGGTAAATATTCTGATAAATTGCAAGCTGGTGAACCTCAATCATAGAACAACAAAGTGAAAGCGTTTATTATTGATCATTATACCAATAAAGCATGCAGAGTTTCCAAAGAATCTGCAATGTTATTGGTCCTGACCTGGCATCTCATTTTAAGTCGCTTTTCCACTGCCAGAATATAGCTTCCCTGTGCCTTTTCTATAAATGTTTTCATACTTACTGTTCTGATGAGCTTTCCTCTTTGGTACCTTGACTTGACAAATCTGTCTTTATTGATACAAAGGATGCAAGTAGAATGTTTCTGTGGGTGTTTGGAGAAGGGTGGGTCTTGAGTGAATTTGTGTGTTGGTCGCTTGACTGAAGTTATAGTGGTGACATCGAGAGCCTGTCAGTTGTTGACAGCTGGTTTATTGGCTGCCTTCTGTTCTTGGCTTCTTTTTCAGTCATTTATAAGTGGCTTTCTTAAAATTAAATCTGGTGGCTCCTGAGCACATTTTTTTTCTTTGGCAGTGATGTTCATGACTGTCTTCTTTTATGTTATCTTTTAGATTTCTGATTTGTTTTGTGGGCCATAGCGCCCCTGCACAGAGGACAACTTCTATTTGGAGTTTTGCTGCCTTAGCGTTCACATTTGGTCAACATGTAGTGTGAATCAGAAAGAGATCTAAGTTGCAGATGAGTATAACATTATGATAATACTTTTTTTTTTTTTTTTTTTTTTTAATATTTTCTTCTGTAGAACATTTCTGTTGCTTCAAGTCTCTACTTCATCTGTGAGGAGATTCTCAAGCATTCAGAGCCATTTAGGAAGACTGATACTACCTAACAGTTCATTCCACTTTTCTTTGTTTCTATAGATATTTTCCTATTTCTTAATAGTTTGCTCAGTTTTTGAAAGGCTTCTTTCACTATCCCATGGCATCTTCAGATTTCCACTTTGCACTTCCTGTCCTTTGTTAATACGCTTTCCAGATATCTAAATTGTACTGTACTTAAATTTATGTAAATCGAGGTACCAAAGAAGAAAGATCATCAGAACAAATATGAAAATATTTATAGAAAAGGCAAAGAGGAAGCTATTTGACAGCAGTGAGAAAGTGACTGAAGCCAAAATGCCAGGCTAGTGCTGATAACATTGCAGATTCTTCTTTTGTACAGTCAACCAACTTTCCTAGCATCAAACATAGCAATTGATTTAATAATTCCACTGTATGTCAGTGGAAAAAATGTAAGCCCAAGAAGGTGTAGTGAGTTGCTCTCCTGGAGGTTAGCATCAGCCATGTTGATGGAAGGCAAAAAAGCAGTTTTATTTTGGAAGTCTTAAAATTAACAGGCCATAACATTATTACAATAATAATCATTTTTTTTTTCTTTTTGAATATTTTCAATTTTTATCCTTGAAGCTAAGAGTTGTTTCTAGTCATTTGCCTTATGTTTATATTTTAACCTAACAAAATAATGACCCAAATATAAATTAACTGCAAATATTTCACCTATAAATTTGGCTTTTGAGATTCAACATAAAGGTATATAAATAAATGCTTACCTTCACCTGTCTTGATATCCCGAAATGCTATCTCCTGTCCCAATGCATCCATCATGAGTTCACCATTTAGGGAGAAAGCTAAAATAAGGAAAACAATGGATACAAATCAAAGATTTATTGAGATAAAAATTAACATGTATAAATTTTTGTCGCCATGTTTATCGCAACGTTTTGGCTGTTGTATGCTCTGGGCTTCTTTAGGACACATGGCACAGTGGATAAAGGCGTTAGTTAGATCTAGTGACAGGACCCAAAGAGTGTGAGTTCAATACCTGGTTAAGACAGTAGAGAACTTTCAGAGGGGAATTAACAGGAGATAACTGACATCCATTAGACATGGCACGTGGAACTAGAACAGTCTACCTGAGTGAGTGAAAAAGGGCTCAGTTCGATATTCCAACCACCTGAAGGAGTGTACAACGGCCAAAACGTTGTGATAAACATGGCAACAAAGATGAGGACAATAGTCTGAATAATGTAAATAGTATAATTTCTTGCTGTCTTAAATTAATAGCGAAAAAAAAAAAAAAACATTATCCAGGATCAAAGAGTCAAAATGTTGGCAGTTTGTTTGAGAAATTTGAATTAAAAAAATATATATAAATTATTGTCCTGACAAACTTTAACACTTTAGCATTCAACCTGCACAAACCTTTTCTGTAAATATCGGCTCTCAATGTTCAACCTGCTGTAACCCAGATCGTGAATACTCTGCCATAATATATGATGACATCATTGTAAATAACAGTGATACAAACAGTGACTCTTGAATCACAAATGGTGAGTCTTTGAGAGATTTACAGGGGTGGGTTTGAGTGTTGAATTTGAAAGGGTTAAGGACAATGCTAACACATAAGACTACTAGTCAGAATAATTAATGGAATAATGACAGCATTTTATCTGAAGCAACTTACAGCAAATACTTACTTATGATGTTATCACTCATGTCCAACATGCAACCTATAACATCTCCAGCCTGCCAGCGTTTTCCATATGGTGCTGAACCTTGGAACCATTTTCTTGCCTACAAATTAAAAAAAAAAAATAACATTAATTCTAAAAAAAAGCTATGGGTTTATTTACTCATAGTCAATATTTGATTTCCTTGGTACACACCTATTAAAAGCAGACTAATGAACAACAGGTATATTTGAAATGTGATAATTTGAAATGTGGTAATTTTCAGTTCAATGGATATAATTAAACTCTCGTGTTCTTTAATTTATTTATTTGCATTTGATCAGTTTACTTATTTTTTGTGCTATCCTAATATTGAAAGCTCAAAGGTGACTTTTTAAATTGCTGTGTTATATTAAGAGGAGGCACAGTGGTGATGTAATAGTCCATAAATACCTTTTCACCCCTCCGGAATAATACACTCTACCACAAAATTACCTATTAACCAATCAACACTCTAGTTCCAGTGAACTAGACTTTTCATTGGCTCAAACTGTAGCAAATTCATGCAAAAATATCTTTTCGCACCTAGCTGTTTGGAGCCGATCCTGACTTCCAGAACAAAATAAAAGGAAGCTTTCAGATCGATTCAGGCAGTCAGAATTTCATCCTGGAGAAGTGCCAACGAATCCACGCTAGTAAAAATCATAACCAGCTACATTTTTGCCGCGCAAATTTCTCCGACTCAACACATGCGCAGCACTTTGTTCTACCAGGAATAATTTCTTACAATACTAAAAAGTGATAATAACTAAGAAGTGATAATAACTCACTACTGATAAGTATTCGTCAATATTCAATCAAATATCTAAACAATCCAAGGTAAACAACTCTGGCGAATTTAAAGAATTAAACTCCTACTTTATTCTCGCATGCAAACTACACAAATTTCTGTATAAATAATATTTTTCCACTTAACTCTATTTGACCTGTTCTTAAACACTTGAACAATTTTGAACTGTAAATCAATAGGAAACCCAATTTACCAGTGGTCAATCTCTTGCATTATCAAACTACAAGTTTTCAAATTGTATATTAATTGTACATAAATGCATGCTGTTTTATTGAAATCTCATAATCGGTGTTTCTTACTCAATTGCCTTGTGATTGATTTGTTTCTGAATGTTTATATTCTATATTGTTGCGGATTAATATGGTGAACATGCCCATAAACTAACCATCTTAATGTAAAAACCTTCTGATAACAAATTCAAACTCATAGCAATCCCAACAGTGGAGTAATGGATAGCGGCTCAAATTGAGGAATCAGGGAGCCGAGTTTGAATTCCTGAGGAATCCATTACATTCACTTACATACTAATACCCTGGGGAAAGGTATAAATCATCTTCTCCCCTTCACTAGATATGGGTAAATAGCAGGACAGACTGGGTTCTATAGCCTTGGATGGCAACTGGCAGAAAGAAATGGCAGCCTATTGCGGGAAAAAATCTGCCTCGTCAGTCATGTATCAAAAGATACATGATCGCCTAAGCAAGTATGGCATATAACTGGCACACAGCATATAACTGACTATATTAATAAAAAATGTGAAATAAAGATAACAGTAAATTAATTTAAGAAAAGTTTCTTGAATGTCTTGTCAAAGGTAAACATTTCATTACTGTTGTAATAAGACATTTCATCATATAGAATCTTCACTAACAATTGCATGATTCAAGTTTATATTCGAGAAATTGTGGCTTAAAACTGTTTATTTGCATCAGCATTTTGATTATCTTAATGGGTCTGTGTTAGATATTGATAAACAAAGAAAATTTGGCAATATTTAATCTTCATGTCCCCACCCACAAAAATAAAATGGTGGGTCAAAACAATGGTTATTCCTTTGACAATGCTATTGTGACTCCCTCAGTAATGTTTAGCATCTTAAGATTAGAGTTTTAATAAAACTCAAACATATTAGAATTGATTTATACATATCCTTTATTCTTGAGAATTGACAACAAAGATATTAAAACACAATATTTATTTATTAGATTATTTACAAAAATAATTCTATACTTAGAAGATTATAAAAATATATGAACCCACTATAATGAAATATTTATTTACTATTTTAAATATAAAACCTGCTGTAACCCACCCCATGAATACTCAGCTATAATATATGATGACATCATTGTAAATAACAGTGATACAAACAGTGATCCTTTGACCTATTTTAAATATAAAAGTGGACATTGTGGTTAACACCAAGCAGCAACAGTGTTTTGTGATTGAATGCAATCTTCAGGCCATGAAGAATGTTGTTCAAGCATGAAACAGACTGTTTCCACTTGTTGTTGACCTCAAGGTTCACTTTTATATTTACATAAACTTTATCTTTGACAGTGAGAACTTTTAACCATAAATATCAGTCAGTTATGTGCCATGCATGATACACGCTTAGGCAATCACGTATCTTTCAATATATGACTGACAAGGCAGATTTTTTTTTCCTGCAGTAGGTTGACTTTTCTTTCTGTTGTAGACTAGTTGCCATCTAAGGCTATAGAACCTGATCTGTCCTGCTATTTATCCATAGCTGGGGAGAGAAGAGGAGGATTCATACCTTTCCCAAGGGTTTTAGTATGTAAGTGAATGTAATAGATTCAAGTGGAATTCGAACTCGGCTCTCTGATTCCTCAATCCAAGCCACTATCCATTACTCTACCGGACTCATAAATATAGTATACCTTAAAACTATATTTTTATTCATAAAAATATCTGAATAAATTTAAATAAACACATAATGACGAGTGACTAATTATAAATTTTGAAAAAATGCATTTTCCAGGCATTACTTTTGGTTTCTCTTATAAATTCAGTAATATAGGTTGAGTGAGAGCATTTCTTCCTCTGAGCCAAACTTTCTTTTAATTTTAGGCATGACCACAAACACTGCTGAAGGAGTCAAAACTGTATACATTAATAATGGTGTCAAGGGAACAATTGTCTTTTTGAAACAGTTTTTTTTTTGCAGGCATGAAGATTAAGCATTGACAAAATCTGTCATTACCATGATTAATTTCTTATTGAAAATATATGCACATTGAAAATATATCCTAAATGATTTCATTAGAATTTTATAATGTTAAATACTAAAGTGGATTTTTTAGACAGAGTTGTACTATTCTAATTATGACACTATCTTCTAAGAATATGTATATATACACACACACGCATATATTTTTAAAAAAATACCATTCCTTCGCTACATAAGAGTTCTCATGTTTCAAAAACAAGAGCCAAAAATGTCAATATAATTATTAAAATTAAATTGAATTAAAGTATCAAGCCTTGTTTCATCCTCAAGTGAAAATTTATGATTACCCAATCTGGAAATTTACGCATCTTTATAAGTATGTTCATTCTAAAATTAATTACGCATCTTTATAGTATTAAATAACACCGCCTGAATGTCCGAGAAATTTTCATAGAAAATTTTCGTTTTTTGACAGGATTTCTATGAAATTTGACAGGATTTCTATGTTCACTGTTTTCATAAAAAATTAAAATTGTATCTATAAAATATATATATATATAAATATATATATATATATATATATACTAAATTTAAATTTATATGAAACATGGGCTGTCTATGGGGATCACTCTTGAAGCAGCTTGAGCATATTCATCAACAATAATTGTATCAAATACTTAGAATCAAATAGAAAACACATGTCAACAATGTAGAAGTTCTTGACAAAACTCAGTGTGACATGCATTGAAGCAACAATTTTCAAACATATTTTATTGTAGAGGTCATTTTGCTAGCATGTGTGACAACAGGATACCAAAGCAACTTTTGTATGAAGAGCTGGTTAATGGAAAATGACCAGTCCATAAGCCAAAGAAATGTTATCAGGATGGCCTGAAAGACTTACTGAACTTTGCAAACATATGATTGGTAGCTCCATACAAATGATCATAGCACCTAGTGGAAGAAGCTGTTTGAGAATACTAAATACAAAATAAAAACTGAAAGTGTCCATAAAGGTAATGCTGTACAACTCTCAGACTATATAAGTGAAAGACATTTGTGATGTTTTTGGTAGGCTTTGCTTGAGTAGAGCAATAAAATGGGGTCATATGCAAAGTCACCATATCAGAGATACTGAGCATCTATGAAATGGTAACAAATATTAACAATTCATGTTATCTTTGTGGAAAAGTGTGCAAATCATCTGGTGGACTGAAAAGACACAGAAACTGTTACACATACTATGTGTAATGACAGAAATATTTGTGTCCCATGTTTGGCAACTGTGTCAGAGGTTTTAGAAGTTTGTCTTTTTTTCAAGAGCCATATTCATTTAAAGCACAACTATGTCCTTCAATGATATCTTTTGATAGTCATACCAAACAATTAGGTGGTAGGCATTTTATATATATATATATATATATATATATATATATATATATATATATGTGTGTGTGTGTGTGTGTGTGTGTGTGTGTGTGTGTATTTAGGCAGCAATCCTTCTTTCATGCACATTTCATTTAATTTGACAGACAAGGTGCTTTGATTTAGTTTTTTTTTTTTATAAAATTTCTCATGTGATCTAATAATTTTTTTCTTTTTGGATGATAAATTATATAAAAACTCTCCAATTGTTCTTTTTATCCCAGTGCTTTCAGCTATACATTTAGTCATTTTCAAGGTTGAAATATATTAACTGTTAACAAGTCATATGTATGTATTTATATGTTTTCATTTTCAAAACACGGTCAAGATTTTGTGTCCATGTTCATAGTTGATATTATTGAGTATTAGTTTTATTGTTTTTATTAATAAGGCTACCATTATTTTTAGCCTTTTTTGCATGTAGATGATGCTATTATATTTGTGTTTTCAACAAGTATGTTACAAATAGGTTCAGGTAGGTCCCTATGAGTATTTAAATGAGACCTAATTGAGCTATGGTCAGAAAGGTGTAATGTGAGTCTTCATGTCAAACATGTTGTAGCATGGCCTGATAATTATTTACAAATTTTAATTGATCAGGAATACAATTCCTTATTTCTTGTTAACAGTTAATATATTTTAACCTTGAAAATGGCTAAATGTATAGCCGAAAGTGCTTGCATAAAAAGAACAATTAGACAGTTTTTATATAATTTATCATCTAAAAAAAAAAAAAAAAAAAGAATTATTAGATCACATGAGAAATTGTATAAAAAAAATAAATCAAAGCACCTTGTCTGTTGTATTCAATGAAATGAGCATATAAGATCAAATATGGATCAGAATCCAACAGGATGATAAGATAAAGAACCAATAAATGTTTATCAATCTAACATGTTTCACTTTTATTAAAGCTTCATCAGAGGTTGAGAAAAAACAGATAAAAAGACAGAACTGCTAAGTTATGAAGACTTATTTAGTACTGCGGAGTCCAAATGCACAAACTCTTTAATCCACTAGATTACTGTCCCATGGGACAATTGTGTGTGGAGAACTTGGAGCCTTAAACCTAACCTGCTTGCTGATTAATGCTGTTGCTTCTTGTCGTGATTGACTTCACTCACTGAAGCTTTTGTTATTTTGTTGAAGCTGCTGCTGCTGAAGAACTGCTGTCATTTGTCTTTCTTTATTAGCAGCTCCCATACCATTTTTATTTCTATGCTAGGCCTACAAAGGGGGTCCTCATAATCTAGCATATGTATTGATTCTTCAGTGTTCTTTATAAAAATTCAATATTAAAATATATAAAACAATAATCTAGTTATTTGTTAATTAAACCCAATTTAACTAAAATATATTAATTATAATAATAATGATGTGTATTTGTAAACATAATATTTTTTACCTCTGAGATGCATTGCACAAATGCTGGTATTATAGATAGGAGTTTGATCATCAAAAGCTCAAGCTGTATAGTTAAAGTAGCCTATTTACAATATAGTATACCTAGTTACAGGATTATCAATGTATATTATATCTGTAAAATAACTTCTCAGATGTCCCAGTAAAAAAAAAAAAATTAGTCATGTTAGATATTTAATCAGAAGGTTCTAATTGGTTTAAAGACAAGTCAATTAAATTGGCAAAGAGCCTATTCACCACACCAATCATTTTTAAACAATTTCTTTTAGAAATCAAATAATGAACTTACCAAGAATCCATCAAAACCATAGGATGAGCCATCAGTTCCCAATTCACACCCAGGATCAAAGGAAGCTTTAGCCCATCCCAACCTCATATAGCCAGGAGTGATCACCTCGAATTCATAATACCTGAAAAATTAGTTTTTTAAGCAAGTGATTATTCATAAAAAGAAAAAAAATAGTTTCTAAAACAGTACAACAAGAAGTAAAAGAGGTGAGTAAACTTGTTAACCATCACATCATACAAATCTGACAAAAGATGACAAAATATGAAAATGATTAAAATAAGAATGTGTGGTCAGCACAATGGTTATTGGCACGGAAAGTGGAATTGGTGTGCAATGTTCAAATTCCAGCCTAGCTTGAAGCATTCACTTACACACAAGTACCTTCGGAAGAGGCATGAACCTGTCTTTTATTCCTCTAACTATAGGTTAAATAGGAGAGTAAACTGGACTCTCTAGTCTTGATTGGCAGCCAGTCTAAGAGAAGGAAAATCTTTTCAAACTGTGAAGAAAGCAATGGTAAACCACTCAGACTATATTTTCCAAGAAGGTATGACAATATGCAGATAATAAGGAAAAGTAATCTAACAGAGGATGGAAAATGTCATATGAAGATCTGAACATACATTGGACTAATGAAAGATGTCTTCTAGAAGCTTAGCAAAGTTTGTAGAAATGGAAAAAATTCATTAGAAACAAAGAAAAACATGCTGTGTTATTTATCCTCTTATACACCAGTGAATACTGGACAATCTCTGGAACAAGCAGAAATGTGATTCTACAGGAGGGTATTGAAAATTCCATAGATGGAATGAGTAAGCAACAGAAAGAATGCTTCCACTCAGAAGAATTCCTTGGACACATGAGAAAAGAGGGCTTGGAAAACTTAAATGTCACCGGACAAACTGAGGGCAGGAGAGATAGATAAAGGCACAGAGCCTTTTACTTGATGAACATGTGTGAATGGATGATGTAAAAGGGGGTTGGGAGCTTTAGCAAAATAAGAAAAACTGCTAATAGCCACAAGAGATAAGACATTGTGGACAGCCATGATTGCCTATCTCCTGAAGAAACATAGGACATAGAAGACTCTGTGGAGAGCTATGATCCCTACATCCTGAAGAGATACAGGCTATTTAAAAATGAGAGGCTATGAAGGATTGATGCAATGCCTGTGCAAGTTTACAATATTCTTGACAGCAAAAGAAATAAAATAAAAAAATAAAAATCTCACATCACAGGGTCTTCTTTCAGATAAGCAATATGGCTTTCACTTCTCTAGGTCAACTGTTGGTGTATTAATGATTAAAGCTGAAAGAGTCTATCAACCTTTACATAATAATGGTAAAGTTCAGGCTGTTGCTTTAGAACAGGGTTTGGCATGACAATCTTATTTGCAAGTTGAAAGGTTATAGTATTTCTGGATGAATTATTAATCTAATTCTGTCTTTCTTATCAAATTGTGAAATAAAAGTTTTTCTGAATAACTATTTGTCTTGTTCTTTCTGCATTAATACAGATGTCCCCCAGGGCTCTATCCTTGGACCTATGTTGTTTCTAATTTTAATTAACAACCTTCCTGATGGCATCAGTTCTCATATTCGTATCTATGCTGATGATACAACTATTTACTCCTGCCTTAATAGTAAATTTGATCATTTCAATAAGATCAAATTGCCAGCTGATCTAAAAAATGACTTGCTGTTAACTGGGTTAAGGAATGGCTTGTTAATTTTAATGCTTCCAAAACAAAACTGTTCCGTTAACCTTTCTGCTTTTCATCAGCATAGATGATGCTTAACTCAAAGAGAGTAACTTGTTGCATGTTCTTGGGCTAACATTTTCTGTTAGCCTAAGAAAGAGAAAGATTATATTGAATCAATTGCTAAGTCTGCTGTTAGGAAAGTTGTTTCTCTGCATTGAATACTACTTCCACATATGGTCTGGTATTCCTGCTATACATTTACAGATTATTCATAGAATCTGCACTCTTATTGGTCCTGACCTGGCATCTTGGCTTTCAGTCACTTTCCCACTGCCATAATGTAGCTTCTCTGCGCCTTTTCTGTAAAAACTTTCATGGTAATTGTTTGGATGAACTTTCCTCTATGGTACCTAGATTTTATGAATTTAAGTGGAGTGCTAGTTTGGCATCAGAGTCTCATCATTTTACAGTTGAAATGATTAGGTATAACTGTAAGTTCTATGCTAACAGTTTTTCTGTCACACTTTTGACTTGCGGAACTCTATTGACTTCTAGTTTCCCAGTCAACATTGTTCTTCAAAAATTTAAAAGCAATGTCCATTATTTACTTCTGTTTTCTTAATTCTTGTTCTTTTATTATTAACTCTCCTTAATCTTAATAGTATTTTTAATTTTTTCACATTTTTAACAGTCAGTAACCCCTTGTGTCTTAGTAGCTTTATTCCCTTGCTTGAGAGGAAATGATTATATATATATATATATATATATATATATATATATATATATTCTTGTCATTTAATGACTTAAAACATTGTTATAAATTCAAAAAGATGATACATACCATTTTCCAGATGTTACTGCATATGTTAACTCAGCTCTGTAAGTTCTTGATGTTATTTGCTTTTCAGCCGCACTCAGAGTCAAGGCTGAAATTAAATGAAATATCAAACTTAATCAAATAGAATCACCTGTAATTATTATCTGAAAGAAATAGTACTGTTTCCAATAAAAAAAATTTTAAGATAATTTTTTATCTAAAAAGAACAAACTCATGTATAATTTGAAGAACACAGGACACTACTTAAATAGACTGTTTCACTTGTAAAAAATAGGGAAACTATTTAGGGAAATAATTTTTGTAGATTAGCATTTTTTTGATGATCCTTAGACTGCTATACTTTTCAGAATAAAAAAAAAGCTGATTTATTTTCAATTTAGAGGAGGGGGGGATCCTGTCCCAAATCGATCAATGATTTTTACATAATTATTGGAATTTTCTATTTTGTGTGCAAAATATTTTGCAGGGTTGTACAAAAATTCATATGAGAAAAGTAATTTTGAATGTCAAATGTTTGTGCATGTGCTTCAAAAAATCTACCACATGAAAAAAAAAATGGGTAAAACAAATTGAGAAAATTAAATTATATGTCAATATCAATGATAGCAGTTTCAAACTTAACATTTGTAGATAACAGCTTAGTGATTTTGACTAAGGCCAATAACTTTGTAAAAGTCAGAGAGTGATATGACACTGTTTTGATATTATAAATAGGGAGCCCTACTAAATCAGTAACTAATCAATATTTTTTTATTCTGACAAGTGTTAAAGACGATTTAAAGAATACAATTCTTAATTCTTAAGCTTAAAGATGGTTTAAAGAATACAATTCTACAAAAATTATTTCCTCAAAATTTTTTTACCTATTTTTTTACTAGTCTATTTAAGTAGTGCTGAATGGAGATAAAAATAGCTATGATATTGGAATTTAGAATAATCATTCAGAAAAATAAGACTAAACAAGCACAGAGTAAATAAGGTGATATAACCCTGGCTATATTTGTGCCAAATTCAAAGACACATTCTATTTTTCCTTCCATCACATTAATCAGACAACAAGAAGCAATGCTGTTTCATTACAAGAATGGTCAGTGGATCAAGTTACAGAGGAATGGGGCCAGCAACCTCCAGAGAATTTATTACTGCCTGAAGAAGCTATCCTAGGATTAAAAGAGACTTCTTCCTTGTAGAATATTGGTTAGCTTGCAAGTGGTCTGATTCACAAGTAGACTAGTGTAGCCACCAAGTTAAAACTAATTCTGAGTCACTTAATGGAGAGATATATGGGTGAATAGAGACCACTTATGCAGATGTGTTTGGCAGGTCCATTCTAGCAAGATGGACCAACCCACCTGCAACATTAGGCATTTCCTATAAAAGTGAGTTAAAATTAGCTGGCTTGCTTTTTCAAGAAGGCACAAGAATGCAGACATGTTAACAGGTAAGTCACTTGACTTCTACATTCCTTCAACCAATACTGTTGACAAAATAACTGGATAGAATTCACCAACGCTAAGTCCACAGATACACATTATCTGCAACCACTTTTTCCCTCATTTCTCATTTTTATTTTTGAAAATATATTTAAATATTGCAGATTATTGTGTTTCTTTTTTTTCATAAGTTGATACCCAGTTCACTTGAGTACACATGGACTTCACGCTTACCTCCATAAAGTTGAGTTTGAATCTTGGCATAATATTGTAGCTATAATGACCACAAAGGTTTGAGAATACAAAGTTAAAGAATCAAGTAAACTAAAATTTTTAACCTGAAAGTTATAACCCAACTTTGGTTGAATCGGGAAACGTTTTCAGTGTTACTATGAGTAAAAGTAAATAAAGAGACAGCATGTGTGCTTATCTGTAGCATCCCCTGGCAGAATTAATGGACTGCTAGCAGCTGCAGGCACTATGCTTTGTTGAAATATGATTGCTTTTTTTTAAATAGTTACAAGGGAATTAACTCAGTCAGCTGCTGATATATTCAAAAACAAAATAAAAAAAAAAATAGAATATTTTAATGATGACCAGTGACTATGTAACAACTGGAACATGGAATTGGAGAAAAAGAAAGATAAAAAAAGATTAATGAAATTGAGCAGAAAAAAATAAATTAGAAAAAATAGACTTAAACACTGTTTACAATGCAAAAATGTGAATATATATTTGTCAAGAGAAACATATGCAGTGATAGATACAAATAGACACACACATATATATATATATATATATATATATATATGTATGTATGTATGTATGTATATGCACTGTAGGCAAAGTTGCAGTGATTGATACAAAAATAAATAAATAATAACAAGGAGACCAAAATTTCACCATGTTTAAAAATAGATGTATATTCAGAATCACCAGGCCAAAAAGCCATATTACAACCAATAGAAGGCTTTCCCAACCAGTATATAAGGTCATAAGCCAATCAGAAGTAGAGCAGTAATTTTGAAGTGGATCACTAGATATGTACTTAATGAGATTGAAAATCAGAATTGATAAATAAATTTTGTCCATTTTTTTGATGATTCAGTCATTTAACATACTCAGAGCTGGCTACAACATCCTGCTACATTTGAAATCATATATACTTTTCTTCATCCACATTGTTAAGCAAATGTCTACTACATTTGGATACATATATTTTCTCCCAGACTCTTTCTCGCTCTCTCTTGTATGCATCAGGACTTTTACACTTGAATTCTTGAAAATTTCACCTTATCTTTCTGCATTATATAAAATTTTATTTGTATTTATCAACACACTGTGCAGGACACGAGGCCAACATACACCCAAATCAATTATACTGATATATGGTAGGAACAGATGCTGAACCTCCCCAAAACCACCATAAAGCAGGCCAATGAAATAAATTCAAAAAGATATAATAACAATAATGATAGTAATGTTTATTGTATATTAGACCATTAAACAAAATGGAGACATAAGAAAACAATGGAAAAATATATTTAGAAAAAAAAAAAAATTTTTTAGAGATCCTTTCTCAACAGAAGATTTTTTTGTTGAGAAAAAACACAGGTGTTTCCGAAAATTCTGTTTTTTTTGTTATTCTTCTATTTTGTATAATACTTTCTGTAATTGTTTTGTGCACAATGATAATTTCCAACTGCCTGTGACAAGTAGCCATTAGCTACAAATACTATGTTGTTTTCAAAGCACTCTTTAATTGCATTGGTGGCATACTTAGAATCTTGAAATGTTCAACTGCACTTTACTTGTAAAGCCTTAACTGAAGTAAAGAGGTTGTTATTTATATATATATATATAAGCAATTTTATTTCAATTATGGAAAGTTCTGTATCATGTGATAAAAAAGTCCTCTTACTATTACATTAGTGGATAATTCACATTTGAAATAGATGCTCCACTATTATTTACAAAACATGTGTATTATGTCTATTGTTCAATGCATTCAAAATATGTTTTGTAAAGAAAATGCATCCTGCAGCAGGGATTTAACCTGTATCCCTCTTTATAAAGTCAACCAGTTTGATCCAGTCTGTTTTACTGCTCAGCCACAAAGAATGTCACAACAAGCAGGGTTCTATTTTCTCTTTTTTAAGGAAAGCACATCCTCTTCATCCAGCTGGTGTGTTTATTTAAAATATGAAGGATCTCCTATAATAATATTTGAAGTAATAAAAATAGATCCATTAATTCTTTAGAAATTGCTTTGTTTACGTTTCCGATAAAAAACTGAGCAAACATGAGGCTTTTGAGAAAATAATCTGTAAAATATGAAGGGCTGTATAAATTAGAACATTAGGTTAACTCTGACATTGTGTTAAATATTTATATCAAGCGCCCTACGAGGCTGGCATCCCGCTCTCACCCTTACACCGTAGAAACCTTCAAATGTAGCCGTCTCTTCTACTCCAATAGTTTCATACCTCGCACCTCTCGCCAGTGGAACACCCTCCCCAATTACTGTTTCCCTGAAAGTTATAATCTCCAACTATTCAAATGTAATGTCAATCGACATCTCCAATTACCTTGATCTACCCACTATCCTTCTCCTCTTCCTTTCTCCTATCACTCTTATCTGCTCTCGCTCCAAACCCCCTGCATCCTAGTGGCTTCACGCCTTGCTTGGGGCACAATGCTTAAAAAAAAAAAAAATAAAAAATAAAGTAACCCTTTCTCCTTGTTTAGGATAGAAGCAGAATTAAAATAATTTACTCCTGTAGACTGAATAAAGAATTTGGTTAAAGATTTCAAGGAGGCTATCAAGTACAACAGACAGAAGGCCAGAGAGTATATTGGCTGAAATGTTAGGTGTCTAACAAAGAGTATTGCAGTTCGAATGGAAAAGGCATACAAATTGTTGCGGTTATGGTTGATGGTGCTGTGTGACTGCAGGACAAACTTGGTCATTCTTACAATGTGTGACCATTTAGAATATTTCTTTCTCTTGGTGAGCAATAACATCCCTACCAGAGGCCACCAGCTCATTCCTAATTTTGAATATGAAGGATAAAGCCACTTTCATGAAGCTAGCTATTTGAATCATCATGGCTGGTGGCTAATACCATGAGCATGGCATTAATTTCTCATTTCCTGTGTCAGACTTGAAATTGTCATGTTAATGCACTTGATATGTCTTTAAGAGAAATAATATTAAAGCTTGACATATGGTGTCTAACACTGTTAGGTTATTTTCCATTTATGGTTTATTTAAGGTATGCTCTCAATTACCTAGTGCACCCTGTACAGATTAATCATTACCCAATAAAGTAAATGGTGTGTGTCTGTATGTGTATGTATATATATATATATATATATATATATATATAAAATCAGAAACACCAAAATTCAAGCTACCATGCTACCCAGATTTTGACCATTAGCTCTCCTCAGGCAGGTAGGATGAAAGATTTTAGCTTACTTCACAGCCATTATATACGAACACTGGAAGTTAGGGGGCAGGGAAACGGAGGAGGTAAAAGGTGAAAAAAAAACAAAAAAAAAAACAACAACAAAATATTTTCATCCAGGTTTGTACATACACAACACATATTTGTTAAGGTGTCTGCACTTAGATAACACCTCTGATTTTTCA